ATCATTCAGGGAAGTGATTCTTGTGCATCAATTTCACGAAAAGTGATTTTTAACAACTTGCATTTAACAACATGCGCCTAAAGTCCGTTGTAATAATATCTATTTTACAACGTGCTTTTAATGTATGTTGTGTGTAATGTGAACAAAACATCTTTTTTTTTTGATAGGAAAAAAAACACAATTAATAAAAGTTAAAATTACATGAGTCCATAATAGGGTGACCCCTATCAACAAAATAAGAAAGAGGGATTACACTAGGGGCAACATGCCCTTCAAAACAAGAGCTAGAAGCCCATTTCCCCAAATTATGGGCTGCCTCGTTCCCCATTCTAGGGATGAATTTAAAAATCCATGTGGGCCAAAGATTCCAGAAGCGTTTGATTTCGTCAATTGGCACAGATGCAGTCCATTGAGGAGGGAGATCTTTATCCATAATAAGCTTAACCGCATTAATACAGTCACTTTCAATGATAGCATTGCTGAACAACATACTTAATTTGCATGTTGTGAAAAATACATACAACGAGATGCACTTGCATATTGTAGAAATGCTCGCATATAACTAGATATAGTGCACCTTGTAAATATAAAAATACATACTACAAGAAGCTTATGCATTTTGTAAAAAAAATTAAATATAACAAGTCACTAAATATGTTGTAAAATAATTCAAATTTCTTTCAAAATGAAATACTAATTATAATTTTATTATAAAAAACTAAAAAATCAAACTTACATGTATCCCGTAGATCATTTTGGGCATAGTTAAATCCATGTATCATTATTCCATCCACAGTTAATTAATTTTATTATAAAAAACTAATTATAATTCAAATCCATGTATTTCAATTAATTTTATAGAAATAGTTATTAAATATATTTTAACTTGTAAAATTAAAACTATTATGAAATACGAAGTTTCATTTTCGCCTATGTATAATTTAACAAAAACGACTTAAAAATATTACTAACTTAGCAAGAATAAGTAGAAAAATATTTTTTCCTACAATTCCTTTTTTTTTTTTTTTTTTTTTTTTTTTTTTTAATTACAAGGGCGAATGGCAAAAATGCCCATCACATGGGACTTAAATGCATTTTGGTCCACAAAAAAAACAGTCTCTCAATTAAACCCATCCCCATGTCTTTAGTCTAAAATACCCTCAGTAATATAATTCTTATCAATTCCACCCATTATGCTCTAACTTCCTTAATATTACACATTGACCCCGGATTTAAACAAATATATCACATTAACCCCCAAAACTTTTTTTTTTTCAGAAAATAATTTTTTTTCTGAAATATTTTTTTTCCGGCCAGATTCCGGCGTTGACTTTTTTTTTTTTTGAATTTTTTTTTTCTTAGAAAAAATAATATTTTAATTAATACTACTGTTTTGGCTACTAAATTACTGTCTCAGACAGTAATATTACTGTTTGGGACAGTAATATTATGAATATTATTTTCTCGAACAGTAATATTGTTTATATTATTGTCTAAGACAGTTAAATTACTGTTGGAGACAGTAATTTAGCATCCAAGGCAGTAATATTAATTAAAATAATTTTTTTTAAGAAAAAAAAAAAAGTCAATTAACAGTTAAATTACTGTCTCGGACAGTTAAATAACTGCTGGAGACAGTAATTTAGCAACGAATACAGTAATATTAATTACAAATATTTTTTTTAAGAATAAAAAAGTCAATTAACGGTTAAATTACTGTCTCCAACAGTTAAATAACTGCTGGAGACAGTAATTTAGCAACGAGTACAGTAATATTAATTAAAATATTTTTGAAGAAAAAAAAAAAGTCAATTAACAGTTAAATCACTGTCTCCGACAGTTAAATAACTGCCGGAGACAGTAATTTAGCAGCCAAAACAGTAATATTAATTAAAATATTTTTTTTAAGAAAAAACAAAATTATAAAAAAAAAAAAAAAAAAAAAGTCAACGCCGGAGACCCGGCGGTCAACGGCAGTTGACCGGCCGGAAAAAAAATTCAGGAAAAAAAAAAGTTTTTCAAAAAAAAAAAAAAAAAAGTCAATGCCGGAGACCGGCGGTCAGCGGCGGCGGCCGACGGTCTTCGGTGGTGGCGGGTCAAAATTGGGGTCAAAATTGAAATTAGGGTTAAATTGGTTAATTGATGAAATTGGGCTAAATTGGGGTGTAAATCATAAAATTGGAGTTGAATTGGGTTTCAATGAATTGGGGGTAATTTTGGTATATATAAAAGGATTTTCCTTATTTGCAAATAAGTTTGATGGGGCTGGATTTATTTGAAAGACAAAACTTTTAATTAAGTGCCCTTGTCATGGGCCTATTTGCCATTACCCATAATTACAAAAGAACAATATAATGAGTATAAAAAATAAAACCAACCCCTCCACCACTTTATGTTCCTCATTACCAAAATATTAGACTGGACGGAAGAGAAGAGAAAAAAATGGAACGGTTGAGAAAGAAAATGGCGACTAGGGTTTTCCTTTTCTCACTGTGCGCGTAGTTGGCATCTCCTGTTTCGACCACCACATACCAAGGTAACAATTCCACCACTGATTTATCTGATTTCTTCAATACCATAGCGGCAGTTGCAAATTGCAATTGAGCATAGTGGCAATATTTATTGGGGCAAAATTATAACCTTTTATTCTTTGCAGATGATATTTGCTCTTGACGGGACTTTTATTAGTGGGTTGATACAAGAATTTTGTTTCTAGTCAATGAATTGTTAGATCATAACATTCATTTATAGATGAGTTTTCCTTTGAATTTGATTGGTCAATAAATATTTGATAAATGTTTACATCTTTTCAGAATTCATCTTAGTTACTATAAGATGATATCACGGAGTAACTATAAGATGGAGCTTGTATGAGGCATTTCAAACAGGTCAGCATAATTGATCCTTGTACATATACAGAGTGTAATCTTGTATAATGGTAATTACTTTTAGAGAAATGCAACTTTAATGGAATATGTGTTTCTTGTTCATTGATATATATATATTGTTCTCTTTGTATTCTTTGTTTTCGTATTCAGGAGATTTCATATTTGACTAGGAATAGGATTCAAACAGACAATCAACCTTTTAAGGTTTGAAACTTTTGTTAATTTGTTGACTAATTACCCATGTTTATTTCAACCCGTGTTTATTTCAACTGATGGTTTTTGTTGACCGTGAAGGTTGCTATGCAAAACATTTGATGAAAAAAAATCGTCAACACGATGAAGTCAAAACTTGTTTCAGCTTCAAGGAGGGCTAATAATCACGGCTCAAGTTGAAAAGGGTAGTGTGCTTTATTAGTATTTTAACTTTTATCCATACGGTTTGCTTTTTTTTTTTTTTTTTTTATTAGTTTTTGTCGAATTGAACAATTGCAGATATGAAATGAATATGGACCAGTAGAGTGGGAAACTGGTGCTTCTAGTTAAGTGAATACTGCATGAGCAGTAAAATGGTTGTTGGACTTGATCGATACAGGTGTTTCATAGATCATGTGCAAACAAGCCTCTAATCCCATAGTAAGAAAATTCATATTATGTTATACAATATATTTTTTACTTAAATTAATAGTTTATATCTCAGTCTTAAGTTCAAACAATAAAACAGTTCTTCCCTGTTTATTACATTATGTATGTTTGTCTTGTCGTTTGTTGCTTTTATCTTTTAATTATATAATTTGTGAATTTCTTGTTGTATTATAGTTGTATGTATGACATATACCCAATATACTGGTCTAGTTGTGATTTTTGAATATGAATTTCATGTTTTAGATATTTTTTTAGAGAGAGATAAAAAAAAAACCTTATTTGCTCCATTTCCTTTTTTCTTCTACGAACTTGCTAACTCATTGTTTTAACTTTTCCAGATAGATACTTGCAATGGTTTCTAGTGTGAAGGCTTCACTCCTAACGAATCCTATAAACTGAAAATGTGGACTGAAGTCTGCACTAGCTGGTAATTAATCAAATTATTAGTTCTTTCTTTATACATATATACTGAAATTCTTTGAAGTCTTTTTTATATTTCATTCCTTGGTGATAACTGATAAGACTCCTAATTCTGAGTTGACTCTGTATGCAACACTGCAATGAAGTAAGAAAATAGTTTACGGTGTTATTGCTACATAATTCTCCCTATTAATGCATGCTTTACTTATCAGTTTCATAGCGCAATATTGTTAGCCATTATGATAGAGAAGTCTATTCTAGTAGCTTTCTGTTTGTTATTTTTTTTATAGTTAATTAATGCGTGAAGAGTTTGTCTTCTGAATAACACCTGTTGATATTTTCAGTAGATTCTGGAGCACTTGACTTCTGTTCATCTTAATTGAGTCATGTGACGAGGCAAATGAAAGATGAGCATTGGCGGCTGCTTAGAATTAGTCGCACGATTATAGTACTGTTGGATAATTTGGTATTTCAAGGATTTTGATGTATTGGATGGATGATATTGAGCTGGATTTGAAAATCCGATTTCTTTATGTTTTGATTATAAAAAAAAATTAATATTTTTTTTGTGAGAGCAAGTAATACAACAACATGCATCTTACCTTGTAGTTATATTATCTACAACAGTCGGAAGCACATTGTAGAACATTTATAACCACAGTCGGCTGCATGTTGTATCTTGTGTATGACAACATGCTCAAAAGCCTTGTCGTAAAGATTACGACAATGCGCCGTTAAATGTTGTTAATTCCCAATAACAACATACACATTGTGTTGTTATACATCTTATACAACATACATATATGTGTTCTACAACTGGCGATGCATGTACCGAGATTTAACAACATGTCCGTCAACAACGTACCATGACGTGTTGTTGTTTCCCTATAACAACACTCACCGAGTGTTGTTAAAGAAACTTTTTCTTGTAGTGTATTGTTGGTGCTTCTACTAAGCGAAATGGTGAGTTAATTAATGCACATCAGGCTGAAATTTCTTGTTTGATATCGATTAGTGAGCTTGAGACCGGTAAAGGAGCTAACAAGATTGGTACTTTACAATGGGCAGATAATACTCGATGGGGTTCTCATTTTTCTTCAATATGTAGCTTAATAAAAATGTTTAATGCTACTGGTATTGTGCTTCAAAGTATTATAGTTGATGGCGACGTGGTGATGCCGATTATGCTTATACTACTATGACATCTTTTCAGTTTGTCTTTATTTTGATTTTGAGGAAAGAAGTGATGGGAATTACTGATGTTCTTTGCCAAGCTTTGCATCAAAAGTCTAAACATATATTAAATTCTATGAATCTAGTCTCAACAACAAAGCAACTCCTTCAAAAATTGAGAGATAATGGATGGGATGCTTTTCTAAGTGATGTTATATCATTTTGTGAAAGTAAGAATATTGAGATGCCTGATATGAATGGTGCTTATAAAGTAGGCCGAGGAAAGTCGATTCATCAACCTCGAGATATTAACATTAGTATTGAGTATCATTTTCATTTTGATATCTTCAATACTACAATAGACACTCAATTGAAAGAGTTGAATAGCATATTTTGTAATCAAACAGTGGAACTCTTGACTCATAGTCTCGCTAGTAGTTCATATAAGTCGTTTAATGCAGATGATATTTGCACTCTTGTTGAAAAATATTATCCTCAGGATTTCGCTGAACGAGAAAGACTCCTTTTGAAGTTTCAATTGCAGCATTATTATCTAGACGTGATCAAGCATTCAGATTTATGTCAGATATCAACTTTAGCAGCATTGTGTGAAGGGTTAGCGGAGACGAAAAAGTTTGAAATATATTACTTGGTTGACAGATTGATTTGTCTCATCTTACTTCTTCGTGTTTCTACCGCTAAGAGCGAGCATTTTCTGCTATGAAACTTGCTAAAACTAAACTTCGAAACAAAATGGAAGATGAGTTTCTTGAAGATTGCATGCTCCTACATATAGAGAGGGATATTGCCGATACTTTTAGCACGGATTCGATCATAGAAGATCTCTATACAATGAAAGATCCTCCAGTTTTTTAATTATTATTATTTTTTTGTTTTTTTTTAGTAAATTAATTTTATTTTCTAATTGTGTAGATTTTTTCGTGGACAAAACATATGATAATTTTATTTTATTATTATCATATAGAGTTTAATTATTATTTTATTTTATTTTCTCGTATTATTAGGTATTTATTATTTTCTGCCCCAACTATAATTTCCTGGTTTCGTCTCTGATTGGTAGAAATATCAATACAATATCAAATCAATAATAAAATAGAAGGAAATATGTCGTTAATTTTCTATTGTGAACATATCCATATATATCATATAATATTTGGTATATTATATATCAAAGTAAAGTACTTTGTAAATAATACTATATTCAAGATAAATGTATATTTCGTTTGTTTTATTCATAAATAAGAGATAAAATCAACATATGGGACATACTATTTATAATATAAAAAATCAACTAATGTTGTGATTTAAAAAAACATACAATAAAATCACGACATTTGGAGAACTCACTTAAGTCTGAACCAACAAAGATATGTAGGTATTGTAATGAAAGCGAAATCAGAGGGGATAAAGAAGCACAATTGAGAAAATTAAAATGATAAACAGGATAAGTTATTTCGAATTTATAGATTCAAAATGCACGAAATATTATATATATATATATATATATATATATATATATATATATATATATATATATATATATATATATATGTGTGTGTGTGTGTGTGGGGTAATTATTAAATGATCGTTGGTTCAAGAAACATTTATTAAATAATTGTACAAATGTGAAATAGGAAATAACTTAAAAACTTAACTAAATAAAAATGTCAACTAAGAAATTTGAAAGTATGACATAGGAATTTGTCCATCTCATTCATAGAGGGCATATATCCTCTTTTTCTTTGATATAACCTCTAATACTTCTGTTAATAGGGATAGACCTAAACTGTTTTGCATCATTTGAGAAAAATTGACTCCTAATTTCAGCCAGCCTATTTTTTAATTATGCCCCTGCCACCTCATCAACACTATCACATAGGGGTGGCATTGGTAGGGATACCAAAGTTTTTTACCATTACCGTGTACCAACCGTAACTTATGGTAATGAGAAGTTTCGTAGCATTACCGTACCCGAAACATTCGGTATACCGTTGTTTGGTATACCGTTACATCTGGTACGATACCATGGTACATGATACTCTACCATTATCTTGTATTAAACTAAAATTTGATAAAAAGAAAAATCTGTCAATTTTACCCGCAAATGAATTTCGTAATACATAAATTTATATTATTTTAATGTCTTCATAAATTTATTGAGCCAAACATTACAATTAATTTTACGAAATCACATAGTGTAAATTTATTCATATATGTTTGGTTATTGTTTATATATAAAGGAAAATGGGAAAAATACCGTACCGATTCAAATGATAACCACTACTTTGGTATTTTTTCGGTAATCTTCGGTTGGTATACCGTGGTACTTGGCAATTGGTACTTTTTGTCCGCCCCTACAGTATCACGTGCTATGCAACTAGCCCCATCAGCCATTTTTTTTTATTCTTTTTTAGTTTTTAATTTTAATTTTAATTTTTTAAATTAAAAAAAAAATTAGTTTTTTAAAAAAAAAAATTTATTCTTTTTTTTTTTTATAGTTTTTTTCTTTATCTATCATATATATTAATCGGCTATGAAGCATATTAAATGACTACAATGAAGCATAGTCAATTAAGGAATTAACTATTAAAAAAAACACTACACAAAATCGAAAATCAACACTTTTTTTTACAAAAAAAATAATATACATAAATTGTAATTGACTTATACAAATCGGAATAAATACACAAAAATCCAAAAACTAATTAAAAGATAAAATCGAGTAACCTTAATCGACTACCAAAATACGTAGCCGATTAAGGGTCCAGCCTGTGCGAATTTCTCTACCCGCGTCATCCTCCGCCCGATCTACCAAAAATTGCTAGGGCTATGTTTGGATGCATTTTTGTTTTGTTTTCATTGTTTCCCCAAAACAAAATGGGATTTATTACAATTTTCAAATCATTTTCTCAAAACAATTTCAAAAGTTTATCTCTCCTTCAGACGTGATGTGACTGCTACAGTAAAATGATTTGACTGCTACAGTAAATAATGTCTTCACTAAAAAACAAATAAACATCACTTCATCTTTCAATTTTTTTCTTCAAAAATACATTATTCTAACACCTTTAAACATGATTTGACTGCTACAGTGTATTTTGTCTCCTTCCAAAATACAAACAAACATTACTTTCATTCTCAAATTATTCCCCCAGAACATATTTCCTCAAAATGAAATCAAAATAAGATCTAAAACGCTTCCAAACATTGCCTAGATCTGCCTCCCATCGTCACCACACCGCCGCGGCACCGCCACACCACACCATCACCAACCCCACTTCGATATTCCGACGATTTTTTTATTACAAATAAAGTAAATCACAACCCGCACCACCAACCAAAGAATAATCACCACATGGGCCCACCTTCTCTCATGAGGAGTGCCGCCTCGTCTGAGTCCTCGAAATTTGCCCCAACCCAGAAAATTTCCGCCACACTTCGTCGAAAATCTGCCTCGATCTCCTTCCCAGGCCTACTGGATTGACCTCGTCGAGCCGGCTCTTGATCGTCGAGATAGAAGAGGCGGTGGTCGTGGCGGTGGAGACTCCCTGCTTTTCTACATCTTCCGGCGGCAGCGGCGGAGGTTTTTCCTCTTTTAGAACTTCCTTCCGTTTGCTCTTCCTCTTCGGTTGATTCTTCTTTTCCTTGTCCGTGGAAGCGGCGACTCTCGTGACCAACGTCAAGGTTGTTGCTGGAGAAAAGAGAAAAAAAACAACAACAATAAAACACGGAGAAGAGAGAAGAAAGAAACGGGAATGGGGATGTGACAAATAAAAAATGAGATTAGGGTTTTGAAAGAGTACATTGGACAACTAAGGGTAGGTTTGAAATTGTGAAAATAGCATTTGAATGGAATGTTAGCTAACAAGGTTTTCTCTAATTATTTTTGGGAAGAAAATTTTTCTTAACTACATTTCCTAGATGAGGGGTCTTTCTAATTTTCTCTATAAATTAAACACATCGGTGTCTATGTATCTTCCAACCAAAATCCCATCCAATTTTTTAATATGGGCACTTTACAAATAAACCCATCAATGGGTACTTATTCATAAATTGGTCCACACAAAAAACTCTTTTACAAAAAAGTCCACACATTGTCCAGAGGTTTGTAAAATACTAAAATAGCCCCTCATATTTTAATATGCTCCAATTTCAACATTTGTTTATTTTAACCTCAATTTGACCCCAAATTTCACAAATTATTCAATTTTGACCCAAAACATAATTTTGAGTACAATTTCGTCCGTCGCCGTCATTGACCGCAGGTCTTCGGTATTGACTTTTTTTCCACCTGATTTTTTGCCGGTTTCCGACGTTGACTTTTTCAATATTTTTCCGGCTTGTGGCGCCGCTGACTGGCGGCGTTGACTTTTTTTCTTCTTTAACATCTGTTTGCCCCCGTTTAAACAACAATATTGATGTGGTTGACAGTAATATTAACTATATTACTGTTAAACACATTAATATTAACTATATTACAGTTTAACACAGTAATATTGATATACTAATCTCTAGCACGTAATATTAACACAACAAAAGCCATTATTATTGTGTAATAGAGTAATATTAATATGTTGACCGTTTAAAAAACGTAAACACAATAAAAAGCCAAAAAAATTAATATTGATGTGGTTGACAGTAATATTACAATAGTAGACAGTAATATTATTACGTTACTTCGTCAACAACTCAAACAGAACAAAAAACCCCAAAAAATAATAATATTGATGTGGTTGACAGTAATATTACTGTGTTTTCAGTTATTTATTGTCAACGACAATAATATAATTACGCTGACTTGTCAACAAATCAAACAAAAAAAAAAAAGTCAAAAAATTAATAACATTGTCGCTGACTCTAATTGTACTGTCAACAACAGTACAATTACATAAATTTATTGTCAACGACAGTACAATTATGTTAATGTACTGTCAATTACAATATAATTACTATTAATGACAGTACAATTACGGTCCACGTTTAGCGGCGGGGGTAAAAAAATGGATAAAAATTTTAGGAAAAAAAAAACACTAAAAAAAGTCAACGCCGGAGACCGGCGGAAAAAGCAGACATAAAAAAAATCGAAAAAGTCAATGCCGGATACCGGCAGCGGAAAAAGCAGACCAGGAAAAAAAATCGAAAAAGTCAATGCCGGAGACCGGCGACAAAAAAATAATTTTAGAAAAAAAAAGTTTAAAAAAGAGAGTCAAAATTGATTTTTGTGGTTAAAATTGATTAAATAGGGGTTACAATTAAGAATTGAGTGTAAGGGTTCGGAGTAATTTTATCATATACATTAATATTTTCTTTATTTATAATGCATATTAGGGGTCTTAAGATATAGGTCCATAGTGTCAAAACTTATTAGAACTAAATGATAAGTCCAACTAAACATTTGATTTACATCCTTTATAAAATTCATTTCGAAAATGCCCCGACTTATAATTCGAAATCTGCATTAAGTAAATTCAAACTGCATTTATTATTGCATTTAGTATTTTCATATTTTAATCTAACTTTTTTAATATCTTTTTATGTTTTGTTCTTTCTTCATTTTAGCATTTTATACAGTATTATAAATAAAATTATTTTCCTTTTTCTCCACATAATTTTGAAAATTGCAAAAAAATGAAAACATGTAATTATATATTTTTTTTAATTCAGTTTACTTATTTTTCATTTTTTCTTTTTATTTTTTATTTCGATATTCTATCAATAAATGTAGTCATCTATAGTCACCGAAGTCAAATTGTCGTTTGTAGACATTCTAGAATTTTACTTTACAACATAGTCTATAGTAAACTATGATATGCTACGATGTATTATAGTATACTAGTCGTATGTACTTTGTAGACATCTAAATTTTGAATTTTACTTCATCGCATTGTACAACACATTTTGTACTAAACTATGATATACTACGGTGCGCTATGATATACTACGGTGTACCATGGTTTCCTGCGGTGTCTATTCCAAACCCTAGCCGCCAACAACTCTCAGTCGTTGCCAACCCTAGGAGTCAACGCAGCCGCAGGCAAACCCTATCAGCGCCGTGGCAACCGTGCTCACCTGTATCCTTTTGAAAAACTTCGATCTGCTATTTTGAACCCTAGTGTTCGCCGCCACGCAATCGAAGCAACCTAAGAACGTTCACAACGGCCTGTAACAAGTCGAAAAAGTAGCAAATCAGATCTAAACCGAACAAAATCTCTTAAAGATCAAATAGAATCAGATGATATTAGTCAAAATATGTTTTTAATAACATATCTTTATAAACAAATGAAAAAAATTGTTCGTTTATCTGTTTTATTAACAAATCTATATAATAAATAAATTGAGATAAAGTAATTACAATAAAGAAGATGGGATGGAAGTTTCGTGTTTTACCACAATCGTGTTTCTGATGATGAGATCTGCATCTTTGTGGGTGGCGGCGAAATTGAGCCAAGATTTTTATAGAAAAATCTTTTAACTAAAATGAGAGAGATGTACAAGGAGATAGAGGTTATCGATATAACCGGGGGGGGGTGTTGAGGGTATAATGGGATTTAAATATTTCTGAGGGCTGTCGGTGTAATAAAACTAGACATATGGGTTTAGATCAAAATGGTGAAATGGAGTTGTTTTACATGGGGGAATTGGCTAGACACCCCTTATTCTGGACTTATATAGGTAGAGATCCTAGTCGCTAGATGAATATAGGCATAGGTCATTTATCACAAAAAAATAATAAAAATAAAATAAAACAATTAGTATATAGGCATAAACATGCTCAATTAATAAAAAAACAAATCTCATATATCACTCCCTCCCTCTCTAATCTTACGTATCTTTTTTCCTATATAATCTCTCATATTTCTCTTCCTCTCCATCTCATATCTCTCGCTTTTTTCTTCTGGTTTTTTTTCTTTTCGATCAACATCTTTTCGATTTTTTTTTTTCCGATCAACTTCTTTCTTTCTCTATACCCTTTCTCGATTACATCTGTTCGATTTTTTTTCCCTTTGGAATTCAAATTCTTTTGGATTATGTTGTAGGGAAGAAAAAAAATGGGAGCTTTACATTATTAGATGATTTTTCGGTGAAAGAGTTAAAAGCAGACAACAAACATAAATCTCTTTTTGCTTGCACAAAGTGAGTTTTTTTTTTCTTCTCGTTTTGTATTTAGCTGTAGTCAGTTTATAATGTATGTCTGTATTTCTAATTGATTTTGGTTCAATAAATAGCAAAAAACAAAAAAATGAAACAACAAAATCAAATTGCAGCATTAAAAATAAACTGCAAATTGCAACCGATAACAGTAGATTTTGTTGCAAACTGCAAATTGCAATTTTTGCATTGATAGAATATTTTTTATAATTTTATTGTCGTTTTTTGCATTTTTATGATATGTATGATATTTTTGTTTTGTATTTTTATTTTTATTATTTGCATTTAGATATTGCATATCATATTTTCATTTTATTGTTTGTAATTAGATGATGCTGATTTTTTTTACTTGTTCAGTTTGCTGTTTGCATTTGGCGAATTCATAGGTAGTTTGTTGTTTTAAATTCAATAATGCAAGTTTTAATTATTAGTTTGCTATTTGCATTTTACAGAGTCATAAGCGGACAAGGCGGCTGCGGCCGTGGCGTTCGTAGCGGTGGTGCGTTTTTTACAACCTGAGTTGTTACCGAACAACAAATAATTTCTAAACAGCAAATGCAAGAAGGCAAATTGGGAAACAACAAATCGAACGAAGGAAAACGGAATGAAGGCAAACTGCAAACGACCTTGTAAATTGCAAACGCTCAGACACCCAAATTTGTAGAGATTTTGGTTTTGAAGAAACAAGGAAGAAATCGATATCAAGAGATTTGCAATTCTAATTTTCGAATTTGCAGTATATTAGGGAGAAAAATAGGTGATTTTGATTTTGAGGATTTATTTTACCATATATTGATAGGGGTACTTTTGACAAATTACAAATAATAAAATATGGTGAAAATTAGAGTTTATTAGATAGATTTTAACACATATAATCTCTTATAGGAGGACCTATAGCAAATTGCGCCGTTTCACATATCTAATTAGGTTTCATTAGAGGAGTATCAAGCATATTACCCTTACATATTAAAATGACGAGTTTATTGGTCAAAGAGATATCACCCCTGAACCTAGAATAACAAAGATGATTGATCAGACACTTATGAACAAAAACCCCTACTAGTATAACAGGTTTCCTGTTTTTTCTAACTAATCTCCACTTTAAAAAATGTTTAATAAGATTTATTATTCGGTATATTTTATTTACTTATTTATCTCAATTTTCGAATTATATGGCTGCCCTAATTTCTTGGCAGATTTCTGTATGTATCGTATCCCTCTCTATATTCGCCGATTTTCACCAAATCTGTAGATCCCATCCCATTAGATTCGCATATTTTAATATCTTTTCCCAAAAAGACAAAATATTGTTAAAAATCACCAAAAGATTATTACGTTTATGGAAAATATTTAGAAAATTGGCATCTCATTTTCAATATATATAGTTGTATAAGGAACTTGAATACAGAAGGGCAGTACCAATTCTCTACTACACGTCGAACATAAGAAGGTGAACATAGATTTCATATAATATCTAATTTCTTGAATCTGTATTCACTGTGTATCCATCGTATGTTTAAACATATGTATTATGTTCATTTACTATCATCATATTTTCGTTTATTTACAGAACGTTCGGTTTGATTCGTTTACTTACGAAACGTTTCTATTTGATTTGTTGATTAAATTGAATGATAACGTTCTTGAGATGTATATTGAATTTTCTGTATGATAAATTGTAATATGAGTTTATGATATGAAATTTAAATAGTAAGGCCTCGTTTAGTTGGGGAGACTAGTCAATATTAAATAAATAATTGAACTTTGTTTATTGTTTGGTATCCTCGGTAACTTGTCGGGTCGATCCGCAAATATTATATTATTACGATTTATTCTTCCGTTATCTTGCCTTAGAGTGGTCTTTTTTGTTCGATGTCTTGGGGTTCGGTAAAATAATAGTGTTGCCATTAGATTATTTAATCTTATCTTGACTAATCTTATCTTGGCAACCAAATGAGGCCTAAATGTACTATTTTGTATAGAAATTAACTGAAAACATCGGATTTTGTGATCAGATGGGCAACACGAGAAAATCACCGGGTTCATCGAAAACATCTAAACTATATAATGTACCTATTGGTAAGGCGTTAATTAAAAGTTACACATTTCAATAGTTCAATTTATCGTTTCGTATTTTATGAAGTAATATGTTATTTGCAGAGTGGATATTAAGTATCGGTAATCGGAATGCCGAAGAGCAAAATGATGGTGCGATTGAGATTCCGCCCGACATGCTAATTAGTGATTCGGAAGATTCCTTTCGAGAGCTAATCCAGTTTGTTTATCCAGATCTATTGAGTAGGATTTCTGATCCGGGTTATTTTAATGGGAGGGTCATTCTTGCACCGACTAATGAAAGTGTCGACTATCTGAATGATTTTTTATTGTCTCTTTTACCCGGGGAAGAGAAGACATGTTTGAGCGCGGATAGTATATGCAAGGATGAATTGAATTCGGAAATGAATGAAGAAATTTATCCGGTCGAATTCCTCAATACCTTATCGTGCTCTGGACTCCCTTCTCATAACATGAAACTCAAGGTCGGTGTGCCTGTCATGCTCATAAGAACCATTGATCAAGCTGGAGGATTGTGCGAGGGAACCATGCTTACGATTGTTCAAATGGGCACCTTCGTTCTTAACTGCAAGATTATTTCCGGCAAAAAGGCTGGTGATATGGCATTCATTCCTCGAATGACATTGGTCCCATCGAACTCCAGTTTGCCATTTCGATTTCAGAGACGACAATATCCGTTGGTTGTTTCATTTGCAATGACAATTAATAAGAATCAAGTTCAAACTCTATCGCATGTCGGTGTGTATCTACCAAGGCCTGCCTCCAGTCATAGTCAATTGTACGCTGCACTGTCAAAAGTTAAGACCAAAGGTGGCATGAAAATATTCATCAACTCCGAATCTGGTGAACCATCCAATGTTACTACCAAGTAAGTGTTCCAAACAATGCATATTAAATTTCATTGGATTCTTTTATTTGCAGGTTTTGGTTATTCTTGTCTCTTAAAATTCTTAATTGGCAGATTTATTTAACTATATGGTGCTATTAATGTGGTTTGCATGGATGTTTCTCAAGGTTCCCATATAGAAATTCATGATGGCATGGATAGCTATGTCATCAACTTAATATTTTTAGCAGTTTGTTTCATAATGAATTCTATTTTTGCACTTATTAAGACAACATTGTAAACGAAGGTCCATGATTTTTGAGTTTGTTTACATATTTTTTGCTTTAAGTAGATCTTGTCAATTATATTTTACTTAGATGATCACAAGATACTATATTTTATTATTGGAAATGGTATCTCGTGCATGGCATAAGTGAAATATTAGTATTAATAATATTGAAAGAATTATTATGTGGTTGAACCGCAAATGTGAACGTATCCCTCGAGTCTTACCCGTGCACATGATCCATGATTTGTTTTGTGTTTTTCATAGAATTAGACAGGTCCATGTGCTGCACGTGTTTTATTAATTTTCCTATGCATTTGTTATTTTTTGCTTTCATTTATTTTGTTTTTATCAAAAATATATGTATCATGACAAACATGTATATACTTATTGGGAAATTTGCTATAGGTCCCCCTATATTATAATTATGTGTATAGATCAAAGTCAAAATCTGCATGTTTTAATAAATTAATAATATTTATTGTGGCAAAAATCCATTAGTCAAATCAAATCAAATTCCCCAAAAACTCTCTATCAAAACAATTTCTCAAACATCTCTCTTTCAAATATTAACTAAAAAAATAAATTAATTCGTAAAAAAAAAATAATATTTATTTACAAACTCATACTCTAAAAACGCCATAGCTGCCGCGCCACCGCCTATGACTCCCTTAACTGCGACGCCTGTGACTCCGTGAACTGCAAATAGCAAACTGAAAATTAGAATTTGTATTATTGAATTGCAAACAACAAAATACCTATGATTTCACCAAATGCAAACATCAGACTGAAAATAAAAAATCAGAATATCCATTATTGAGTTGCAAACAAAGAACTACCTATGACTTTGCCAAATGAAAACAACAAACTGAAGAAACAAAATTAGCAGAACTTGCATTATTGAATTGCAAACAATAAACTATCTACGACTTCGCCAAATGCAAACAAAAAACTGAAAAATAAATCAGCATCATTAAAAACATCAACAACAAAAAATGTTTATGGAACAACATGCAAACAACAAAAACATCAAACAAATTGTTGGTAAAATGTAACTTAAGACATACCTTGCAAATTCTAAATCAGAGGAATCGAATCTTAACACCAAACGCAATTCTTCAAAAAACAGACGAAGTTAAACCAACCTGCAAATGGAAATTGCTAATAACAAATGATGGGAAGGTTTTACATACTAAAGACAAAATGTGAATTTTGGCTAGGATTTTGGATTTCTGATTTTCTTTTTGGGAGGGGGAGGGATGTTTGTTGTCCTCTTTAATTCTCTTATCAAAAAATCATCTCATAATCTAAAAAGAACCCCCCCCCCCCCCCCCCCTCTTTTTTTTCCTTCTCTATAATATTATAAAAAAATTAAAGAAAAAGAAATAATAAAGAAAAAACAGAGAAGCACGAGAGAGAGAGGGAGAGAGGCGTGAGATACAGAGGGAGAGAGATGAAGGATTAAATATAAGGTGAGAGAAATGCTTGATGACAAGCAAAAACTAGCAACTTTCAAAGCAACACAATCAACAAATGTATCTTATCATATAGATCAGTGGTTAACTTCACATTTTCAGAACTTGCAATTATCATAACTTGCAATTATCATGATAATTCTAAAAAAAATTGTAAGCTCGCAATTCGAAGATACTTATTCACTTACCATTGCTAAAAACCACAAACCATTCTATCGCTTCAAGTATCCCATATTTGTAATCTAAAAAATGGAGAAAATTTATACTTACATAATAATGTTTGACTCCAAAGACTCATCAAATTTCTTTATTGGGCTAATATCAAATACTTGAGCTATTGGGATCATTGGGACTTTTTGGCTTTCAAATGTTGGGCTTTTGGTACAAGGTAGAAAATATCGGTGAAAGTGGCTACTCTTCTCCTTTCATCTCACAATTAGTAACTAAGAGTTGCACTTAGGATTTTTCAGGTCTAGTTCTTGACTCGAGTTGTTTTTGTTGTGATATAGCTTTTGGAATTATTGCTTCACCTCTAAGGGCTTATTACCCAACTCGATTTTCAAGAGATCAAAAGTCTCAACTTTTGCTCTTGGAGTGATGGTTCGAGTTTTGATTTTAAAAAAATTTCCAAGTCCTTTCCTTCCCTTCTATTTCTCCTCTTCTTCTTCTTCTTTTTTATTATAATTATTTTTTCTTACGAAGAAGAAGAGGAATTCATTATTTTTTTCCGACCATACTCCAAGGGATATGTTCAAGAAATTTACTTCTATTCTACCCGTAAAACATGGCTAAATGAAAGAACACCGTTTCTCCAAGGCTCAATCGAAGTTCGAAGAATAAAGATTTAAAGGTAGGCTTGAAAGGCTCAAACGGTTCAAAGAAAGCCCAAATCACTTCCCAATTTACTCAACGATTCAATATTTCACTTTGAAAATTCCTAAGACAAGTTCTAAAACCAAACATCATATGATATGGCATAAATTAACTCCAAATTTTAAACCACAAAACTTTCTACCAAAGCAACGCATAATTCGTGATTTTTGACAATGACTAATTCCTACGACACTTTGAATTGAAAGCTCACCAAAATTCAATCATAATCAAGACAAAGCAAGCAATTTAATCGTTAAACACAAACCATCTTTCATCATCATGATTCATCGAAATATTTATCTTAACCACAATTTTTTTAAAAGCAATAAATAAGCGAAAAGAACAACTAATGTTAAAATAAAAATTCTAAGGCATGTAAACTAACAAACAACTAAAGCACAGAAAAGCAAGTAAATTTTTCACCCCAAACATAAAATTTACATTGCCCTCAATGTAATTTCCAGGAATTTCAAGGATATAAAACACCTGACTAGTCGTAAGGTTCTTCTCTGGGATGCACTCTTTCATGTGGGTTGCACTCTTTGATGTTCGTTTACTCCACCTTTAACGTCCAATCACTTAATGTTTGATTTTCGACCTGAAAATTGAAACAAGATTAAATTATTAGTTTGCATGCTTATTAAAATCCTAAGAAAAGATATAAACAAAAGAAAATAAGAAAAACGATAAATGCTCGGGTTGCCTCCCAAGAAGCGCTAAGTTTTTAGTCTTCAGCCAGGCTTTGCTTCTTCGGAACTGTTATGTCCAATCAAAAATCTTGTAAATTAGACATCCATCCATTTGTTTTCTCTACATCTCTTTCAACTAATGCATGGATAGAGTTGCAATATGTCAGTGTCTACATCCACCTTAGCGGGTACCCTTTTCTCTTAATAAGCAGTCGGTACAATACTAAGGTAGGATCTTCGCCATTCGCTTCCTCAAATCGGTATACAAAAATCTCCAGTCTGCGTATAACCTCCACCTCGAACACACTATCCTTCTCAACAACCACTATTGAAGCCTTCAAATCCATATTTGAAACAATGATAGGGTCCAAAACTAGAATATCTTCAATCATTACATCCATATCCTTCTTGTTTTTTAGGCCTCTTCGAGGTTTAACTCGATTGCATTATCAAATTCATCATGATCAAGTGTATTTGTAATTTTTATTTGTCTCTTAACGACACTATTTTCTGGACATAGAAGATTTTTCTTTCTGCAGGCTTCACCGGAATTTTCTTTGACACAACCATCGCCGATATCGTCTGTATTATTTTTCAGAGACTCGGATTTTAATTTGAGCGATATCTCTTCCAATTGTATCTCCATGTTTTGAAATGATGTTTGAGTGGACTTCACGAATTCGGTAATGAGGGATTTCTAATCAAGTTGTTCATTACTGCTTTGTTGCTGCATTGGATAATAATTTTGAAAATCATAAAATTGTGGTTCTTTATGTTGAAATTCGTTGAAAATTTGTGTCCTGAAAGCTTTTCTCATATGAATTGGTGTATGTGTTCCAATAACCTCTGTTGGTAATTTTGATGAAGTTCTTTGCTTTTGGTGATCCCAATATTGATTGGTATTATATTAATAAAAATATAAATTTCATAATATATAAAACAACAAATATATATATATATATATATATATATATATATATATATATATATATATATATATATATATATATATATATATATATATTCAAATGAAATAATATGAAATATATATTAATTCATTAATATATTCATTTTATACAGATATCCCAATTTTTGTATTGAATGGATATTCGAATATTCCAAAATATTGAAAATTCAAAAAAAAAAAAAAACAATTGTATTCCTTTATTTTAATATTTTAATATTAAAAAAAAATTCTGAAAATTATTTGAATATTCGTAAAAAAAATTGAGTATCATCAATTTTTTCAATAAATGTATTTTGAAATACTGAAAATATAAATAAGATTTTTTTATTTCAAATTTATAAAATATTAACTTTGGAAATAATATATATACATGTGGTAATTGTTTAAATGAGTGTATAAATGTTAAATAGGAAATAACTTAAATACATACCAAAATAGAATTGACAACTCACCAATTGAAGAATCCACATCATCAATTGAACTCCAACTAAGCAATTTTGATAAATGACATCATCATTTGCCACATATCAATCATTGAGGGCATAGATCCTCTTTTTATACTATATATAGATATATTAAATAAGTTATTGAAAACAATAACTTTCGAATGAGTTGGAAAAATTGCCCTTCGCATTTCTTGAGCTGCCTTTCTTTTGTTAATAAGATAAGATTTAAAGAAAATAATCAAATTTTTGAACTAATTAAATTTTATTTTTAGTCAAATCTATCTACATTTTATATATAGATATATAAGAT